GTAGTTCGTGCAGAACCAAAATGAATCTTCCGCAGGGAAAGGGCCGCATACATCCGCCAGGTAAGCTCTTTCCCAACGCCCTTTCTCTTTGACTCTCTCGTCGACTTCCCGATCCCCACGGCTAGCTGCAAACCTCTGTTACGATGGAGTGAGCAAAATCGAATGAATCTTTCGCTAGAATACGGGAAGATACATACTTCCCTCGCCCCCCCCGATAGCTCCACGCAACTCTATCTCTACCAACTCACATCCTGCTAACCCAAGGCCAAAAATAACCCTCTCACTGACTTCGCAATGGGCAAAACCCCCCGACTGACATCTTAAACCGCAGGAAACGGTCGAGAAGTGACCGAGTTGTTCCTGTTTCACTCCCACCTTCTATGTTCCCGCCATAACCCCTCGCAGCCTGTCTCCCATCTAGCACGGAATCCGCTGTCCCTCCACGAAATCTGACCGCGCCAACCGATTCGCGCCGCCTCCAAACCCCAATTTCGAATCCTTCCCCGCTCGTTTCCATCAAGGAACGAGCGAGATACTCACTCCCTATTCCCACTTTCTCCTTCCTCCATATCCCGGCGCAAGCTCTTTCTCTACTAACTGTCGTCTTTCTAACTTTCTCCCAAATCTAATCGTCCTAACAGATTCGCCTTACCCAAAAATGACAAAATGACCCTTTTTCCTCACCCGATTCCGTGGAAAACCGAGAGAGATAGGTATCTCTCACCTTTCTTCCTTGCCCATTCCGCCATCTCCCACTCACCGACTTCTTCGTCTAACTCTATTCCTACTAATCTACCTTCAGATCCAATGTCATGGTTGCGCTCGCCCGGGGTAAAAACCCCAAAATTGTTTCTCCTCCGGTCCGATTCTATTAAGAATCGGGCAGGCTACTCCTTCCCGACTGCGCCCTGTTCCCCTCTTCCATCACAGCACGCAGGTGGCACACTTTCCCGTTTCGGTTCGGCCCCTTTCCTTCACTACGCTCGCTGCCTCCCCGCTGTCTCGTCTCTCCTCACCAGCCCGTCGCCAGTCTCGCTCGCTGCCAGCCCACGCCCCGCTACAGTCTTCTCCCTGCCATCTCAGTTTCCCTTCACCCTTGACGCCGGATGCACCTGGCGCACCCTACGTCCAGGTTCTTTCGCTCCATCGGCCCACCTCTCTACTGCTGCGCTCGCTGCCTGGCCGCCCGCTACCGATGCGGTACCTGTGCAGAGCTCGCTCCGCTCGCGGTTTCTCCTTGGCTGGCTCATTACTCATTAGCAGACGGCCTGCTCCCTCACTCATAGTGCCGGATTGCTTGACTGCGCAGCGAGTTTCGTCGACCGCTCGGTGCCGCCTCGAACTCAGAGGGGGAGCCCGCTACTAGGCGGTTTGGCCTTGCCTTTCCCCCACATCCAGCCCGACAGGCTTTGCAGTCAACGCCACCGCTACCTAGGGCCGTCCGACTGGACCCACCGCCTGCCTCTTACCGCTAGCCCCCCCCTCCTGCAGCGGTCTGCCCAAGCTGATATACTCCCGCATGTTCCCTCGTTGGGGACCTGCGCATAGTCGTGGCTGCGGCGGGGGTCCCCGTAGTACCATAGTGGGGTAACTTTGGCGTAGTCTCGAAGGCCACACAATAGGTAACCCAACAAAAACACACCCCCACGCGACCTCACCGGACCCGGAACGTGGGTTATATGCCATCCGCATTGCCGGTCCTGTTTCCCTTTGGTGCAATTGCAGCTCAGACCCTGACGGCGCCGTAGCCTCTCCCTGCTATGGCGTAATAGCAGACTGCCGCCAGCGACCTGAGCCCACGGACTCGTCGGACGAGGTGCATACTCAAGGTCCTTGACTGCCGCGACGCCCGTTAAACCCGGCGTCGCTTCGGGGTCAATGGCACGCCGACGTATAGCAAGAATTATTAGGAATACGGTGAGACGCCACCGGTGGCAAAACCAAGGGGAATAGCCCCACCGGCCCCCAAATCCCTTGGTCCATTCGCCCTACTCTGATACCCCCGCGTCGTCATCGCTCGACCTCGATCCCTGAATCTCCTTGATGAAAGTCCGATGCCACAACCAATAGTGCTAGGCTCAAGGCTGGGTCTCGCTCTGACGGAAGCCTAAATAAATGGACACTGCGCGATGCGCCAATCTACCGAAACGTTCTAACCCCGCACATCTGTCAACCGCCAACCTCCGCGTCCACCGCGCGACTATACCGGATCATGCCGTCGTCGACGTCGTCCTCCATATGCATGCGCAGGCCACAGGTAAACGCACCAATCAGAGAGTAAGACCTTTTTAATCCTAGTTTAATCAGGGATAAATCCGGCCGGCGATCACGCTGGCTCTTCAATCATCAACAAATAAAAAGATCACGCGCACCTCAAATCCGCGCGCCCACACACTCTTGATTCTAGTCAACTATCAGCCGCCTAAACAGCAGACACTGCCGCGACTCGCGCGGTATACTCAATCTTTAAACCAAACTATTTTCTATCGCGTGCAAAACCCAGGGCGGATACCCTTGTAAGGGTATTCGCACCGACAGCGGCACACGGGATGCTAAGTGTACGGTCTCATTCCATAAGGGGGTCCCGTGTTTCTCAAACGCTGGACCCCCCTCCCCGTTATTTTTTTCGAGGGGATGGGGGTTGGGTGGGGGCGGCACACGGGTTGCCAAGTGTACGGTCCCATTCCGTAACGGGGGCCGATGTTCCTTAAAAGCCAGATCCTTCTCCCCGTTCATTTGTTTGAGGGGGGGGGGATCACACAGGATGCGAGGAGGCCCCATTCCATAAGGGGATCCGCGGTGTTCCTCAAACAGCAGATCCCCCTCCCCATTCATTTTTTCGAGGGAGGGGGGGGGCCACCCGACATTCCTCAACCGCCGGACCCTTTGAGCCAGGCTGACAACCGCTGGACTCTCTCGCTCCAGGACCCTTGCCCTGCGGTTCCAGCCTCATTTCATATGTCCGGGTCCGGTGTTTGTGAAACGCCGGACTCCCCCCCCTCCCTTTTTTCCATATCTACTTTAATGGGGGGGGAGGGGGGGGGGAGGATTGTTCCCGGAAC